CACCTGCCTCTGCTGCCCTAAGCAGGATCAGAGCCTGGCTGTCTGGACATCACCATCAGCCTTTGACCATTCTCCTTTGTAACCCTGACCTCTTAGTAATATAGTGTTCTACACCCCACAAGTCCAGCAAAGCCAGAAGCTGCTTTCTTTCTCTTGAAGGCAAGCATAGGTAAGAAATGAAAAGATTTGCTTGCTTGTTTTTCTGAAAAATTAGGAAAATGTCATACTTTCATAATGGTAAGAAATGGAGAATTAAGTTATCTCATTTGTTGTCCCTAGGTAACTGTAAATACCAAAATAAGGACTGTGGGCATTTGAGGTCAACTCAAACTGTGAATGATGCAGAAATGCCACGTACAGCTTTGGAAAGGAATCTAGGGACAGCAAGAGGACTGTAGGATACCCATAGGATAATACGTTGGAAATACGCATGCACTCGGCTTAGGCAAATACTGTGAGAAGCAATGGGGAGAGGAGGCCCAGAAGAGAGGTTCAAAGGATGCTGGATAATGCTGTTGAGAGGGGCAACACTGCCTGTGAGCTGAACACAAACAGTTGAAAGTTCAGTAATGTGTCTAAGAGCTTGGTTTGGGTTCAGATCACTGCACTTTCCAGCTGAATGACCTGAAGGAGTTACTGAATTCTTTGGGTTTCTGTTTGCTTCTGGGTAAGACCAGCTTTGTGGCTATGATAAGACCTGAGGTCATGCAGGTAAAAGGTCCCATCCCATGACTGCAGCCTAATGATGTTCACCAAATGGTAGCTCTTACTGTTTAGCCAGGCTAAGATAAATTGTCAACTTTGCCCTTTGTAAATCAGAAAGAAATCCTCTCATACTTATAAGCTATTGTGTTCTGGGTTATCAGTAGGCTGTGGGCTGAATGAGCTCATTGGTGAGATAAGAAATGTTACTAGGAAGCCGTGGAGCATACCTCTGGAGAATGGCAGTCACGCAAGAGCTCTGAAAGACCATTCGTGGCGTGGATCGAGAGAGCACACGAGAGAGCACACTGCCATTCCAGCCTGCAGGACATTCTTGAAGTGATGACAGGGTGCAGTAAGATCTAAATGACGTAAGGATAACATCATCGGGAAGATTTTGCAAGTGCTAAAACACTAAACCTGCTCTCCAAGTTTTCTGGCCTTCATCTCCCCTGTATCTCTCTGCTGATGAGAGAGGTAGATATCTTGGTCCTGGCCTTAGAGAAGCAGGTCATATAGTTCCTGTGTCCAGATTATACCGCGTCAAGTGTTACCAGAGCAAATAATGAAAACAGGCTATACATAGCCTGTACATGATGTTCTTCATAAGAGTTGGATAGAACACGTGGCTGGCATAGTAAGGCCTCAGGTTTATTCCCAACACTGACTAAAACAAAAGTATAAAAATTTGTATTTCTATGTTGTGCTGGTCTTGTGAGTAGAGCAGGACCAACAGGCCAGGCACTCTTAGGAGTTTCATGCAGCAAAATTATGTTGCACCTTAAATTTCCCTGGCATACAATGAATTGTCTATCATCTGTTTGTAGGGAATGATAAGAATTAGTCTTCTTGACAGTAATGTACCTGATTAACATATCTAAGCAAAGTATCTGATCATTTGTTCAAAACTCTTGCACCTACAAAGACCTCTGCATTCATCAGATCTACAAAATTGGGGTGTTTTAAAGTCGGCATGACTTTGTCTTTGGGGTATGGTAATGTGGGCCTGGTTCTCTATGCCCCTTATGCATGCAGGAGATAGAAAGAAGCTCAGAGGAATAGAACAAGCTGAGGGGAGGACACACATCCGCAAGACTGTGCTTTGCACAGTCACCCAGCACATTAGGACTCCATGGGGTCCCCAAGGTCCCCTAGTCCAATTGAAGTGACTGTCAGATTCCTGTGTAGCTCTCTCCACCCCAGAGGCAAGTAAAGAACTGTCTAAATCTGAGTCTCTTGAATGTGAGTTTAAGTTTTGAAAGCAGCCACATGTCACTCCACAAGCAATAAGGAAAGTAAATGAAGAAGACAAACCAACTCTACATAAGGTGGGGCCTTGAGGCCGCAACATCAAATGCTCATCTGCACTCTGCAGGGGAATGCAGGGCATCTGAAGAAAACCTTCCTCCCACAGCTGCTGAAGCACAACTTCATCTGGGGCAGGAGAGGTGTCTTAGATTGGGTTTTATTACTGTGAAGACACCATGACCTGTGACCACGGCAACTCTTACAAAGGAAAACATTTAGTTGGAGCTAGTTTACAGTTTCAGAGGTTCAGTGCATTGTGCAGGCAGCCATGGTGCTGGAGGACCCCAGTGTTCTACATTTGATCAGAAGGCAGCCCAGAGGAGACTGGATTCCACAATGAGTAGAGTTTGGAAAAATATATATATGTGAATATACACACATATACATATATACAACCTCAAAGCCTGCCTTCACGTGACGCATTTCTTCCAACAAGGCCACATCTTCTAATAGTGCCACTCCCTATGGGCCAAGCATTCAAACATGTGAGTCTATGGGGGCCAAACCTATTCAATCCACCACAGAAGTACATACTAAATTCTCTTAAACTTAACATAGTCTAGTTGGATGTGCAAGATGATACATACCCATAAACCCAGCATTTGGAGGTGGAAACAGAAAGAATCAAAAGTTTAGAGTAGGCTGTAGGTACATTACAGGTTAGAGGGCCAGCTTGAGCTATCTGAGACCCTATCTCAGACAAACAAATAAAAACAAAACCACAACAATAACAAAACCAACATCATCTTAGGCTTAAAATAGTCTAATAATTTATAATGTAGAATCTATTGAAATGATGCATAGTTTTATTTTTTTAAAGAAAGAAGCATGGTACAGAGGTAATAGCAGCTGAAACCATATATATACAAACAACAAAGAACATGTTGAATTTATATATTCACACACACACACCCCATAATAGTCAAAGAAAAAGGCTATCAATTTGAGTTGGAAAGGAGTTGGAAGGAGGGGACTTGGGAGGGACTGGAGAGAGAGAAGAAAGAGGGAAAGGGATGTAATTATGTTTTAATTAAAAATGTATTAAAATTTTTATAGGAAAAGATGGTAACCGGCCTACTTGCCCAGAAGAGAGATTGGCCCATATGGAAAGGCTTATAAACTTGAGGCTCCTGATATACTTTTGTTGGAATGGAAAATGCCTGTTTTGGTTGCATATTGAAACTGTGACTTATAAAACAAAAGAGACAGACTAAAAAGAGAGGAGACAAATATTTAAGCTCTTTAATATTAAATTAAAATTAAATTTCTAATGTTAAAATCTTCACAGATATTTATAGCAATTTTATTCACAATCTTCCCAAACAATCAAGATGTTCCTCCAAAGGGAAAGTAAAATAAACTGTGATATATGCATGCAGTGGAATATTATCCAGCTATAAAGAGAAGTGAACATTGAAAAGACATCAAAAAGCCTGAAACTGGCTGTAGAGTACAGTATTTGAACTTATGACATTCTGTAAAAGGTGAAGTTACTGAAGCAGGAAAAAAAAATGGAAGCTGTCAGAGATTGGGAGGGAGACAGGAATACATAGACAGGTCTCAGGAGTTTTAGAACAGTGTGTAACTTCCCAGTGTAATATCATACTGGTGAATACATGTCATGATGCATTTGTCAAAATTCAGAAAGCCAGTCACGGTGGTGCATGCTCACCTGTAATGTCAGTATTGTTAAGTATAGTTAAGAAAACCAAAAGTTTTGGCTACATCCAGAGTTTGAGACTAGCCTAGTCTACATGATCCTCTGTCTCAAAAAATAGAATGAAATAAAGAGGAATCCTGGTATGGATTTTCCAATTTGAACTTTAGTTGATACATTGATTTTGTTGATCAGTTACAGCAGACATCCCACAGCAATGGAAATGTCAGCGGTGACAGGGATGGACGGCCGGGTCGGGAATCTGTGTAGGTTACCTACTCGGTTCCTTTAAACGTAAAACTGTGCTCCACTCCACATAACCAAGTTCATTAATTTAAAATTAACCCATCCCAAATCACTTCTACATAAAGAAATTTCGAAGAACTCATGTGCCTAGTTAGCTAGTTGGGAAACGCATGAGCGAGTGCCTTTTTCAAAGGCAGCTGAGAAAACCCAGATGCCCCAAGTGTGAAGCAGCAGGCCTCGCCAAGGTTCAGACATCCCGACTGCTGACACCTATCACAGACTCAACAAAACCCTCCTAATGGGGTTTAGGAGGTGCAGTGGGGGAGGGGAAGAGGAACCAAATTCTTACTCAAAGAATTAACAATTTGGAACATGCACAAAAGTGTCAGCAAGTTATGTAGATCTTATCGGCGGTGCATTTTTGGTGCCTCCCAGCTATCCAGCCGGCTCCACCAGCCTGTCAACACCTACAGCATCCCACGCCTGCGCAGGCCTCTCTGCACCTCCAGAAGCTCTGCTGGGCCAGTGTTGCCTCCCCAGAGCCCACAGGAGCTGGGTGTTTGACTTTCCCTCTCCACTCAAGGTACCCTGCAGTCTGTGCATGATGCCTGCTCCCCATTCTGCGGCTTGGCTGGAGCCGCATTTTGAAAAGAAAACTGAAGGTAGGAAATCCAACGTCCCTGCATTTCAAGGAAGAGAATGTTTGGAGTTTCAACCACGTGAGGAGCAACTAGGCAAAGTCATCACGAAGGAGCATTTTAAGTTTCTGTATTTGCAGATGGAACTTCATGATCATGCAGAGTTATGAATAAGGAAAAGGGAAGGCTCACTGTTGAGTTCTTTTCCACATCTCTTGACACTTGTGGCTCTGGGTACAGGAGCTGGCGCGTGCTCGTGGACATGTACAGTGTCATACATACGCATCCAGCACACGTATGCCTTGCTTCACAGTAATGCAAATTTTCAAATGTGATTGCTTAAGAGCGCAGATTGCTTAAGAGTCTGTGTGTCCTGGCTTTCTTTTATAGTCACGTGTTCATTTTGTAAAATTCAGTGACTGGTTCTCCCCATTTGTTTTCCCTTTTAGGCAGCCTTAAGTGCCTTGAAACAGTTTTCTGAACAAGGGCTGGAATCAATTGATGGAGTGGCGAATGTTGAAAAGGGTTCTCTTGAAAAGTGAGTAAATGCTTGCTCCATGTTTTTACTTTTGTATCTATACAAAACATGAGACATGATAACTGTATGGTTTGAAAAAAAGACGGTAACATCTAAATCTTACAAAATTCTTCTTTCCTCTGTTAAATACAGATGAATGAAAAGCATATATGCAGTCATAATCAACTTTTCTAAAATGGGGATGTTCTAACCTGTGAGTTGGCTATTGTCTCTGTATTTTAATGCCATGGAGGGAAATCACGACAGTCTCGAGGACTGTAGACAGCTCAGAGCTGACAGGGGGCTGTCCTTACTGTATACTGCCAAGAATTCTCTCACCAACTCAGTTTTTGAGCCAAAAAAAAAAATTGCACTCACATTTTATAGTACAACTGAGAAAGAGCAGAGGGGGTTAGAAGCAGCCCCTACCCCTGTTTTTCCTGCACTTGGTTTTTTTATTTTGTTGTGTGGGACATTAGCACATTCTGCCACAGAAACAGGACTTCTAGGGACTCAGTGAACATCCAAATATAGTCATTACTCCTGAACGCCAGCTTCTAGCTTTTTTAGGAGATTTGACCCATAAGTTGCATAGAAGTTTCAGAGAAGGGACTGAGTTTTAGAGACCAATTCATACTAGCAAAGTAGAAAGTCAGTTATATTTACAGTATAGAGTCTAAACGTTTTCAAGGCAACAATAATAGCTGGTGTAATCTCAGAGCACACATAGAAGATACCATCAGATTTAAAACATAGAACCTGGGAAGGAAAAAGCAGACATGTTGATTCTGAAGTTAAATGAACATACAAAAAAACACACACACACACACACAAAACACATACAAAAACCAAAACACATTTGGCCATTTATATTAAAAGATAAGAAGAGCCTGAGAAGAAGACATTTGGTAAACAGGCATGGCGTTTCAGGTTGTCTATAGATTGGCAACCATTTATAAGCTAATTTAATCAAAACCGTTTGTTTCACATGATCTCATCAGCAGACTATCTGAGCATAAATATTGTTGTTTCACTTTAAAATGTCACTTTTGTGGTGACCTTTGAGTCCTGTGTGCCATCTGCTAATAAACATGTCTGAAGATGTGCAGCCCAGACCTCAGCTCGTGTTAATGTATTAATCTTTCAGACAAGCCAAGCATCTGCGGGAGAAAGCAGACAATAACCAGGCAAACCCGGGCTCCATCACTCAGGACTGCAAGAAATCAAAGTCGGCCATCTAGCAGCTCCCAGAACCCACGGCTGCCACTGCGTCCCGTATAAACCTGTCAGCACGCACGAGGGTGTCTGTGTTCTAGGAAATGAATGACTAATACCATTATCTGAGTCTTATGTGAAGACAACGCTATTCTAACACAGGAGATAATGTACATGGTACTGTTTATTCAACTGGGGGAAAATAAAACTTTGAGCATTTCCCTTGGAACTTGAGATCAGATCATAACTCATTTGCCCAGAGGCAACAGAAATCTGATCCCACTACTGGAGCTTAAAAATAACAATTAATGAAAAGTGTTAGAAACAAGGCTACAGTTTTAAAATGACTCATAGAAAAGTTGGGTTTGGTTCTGTCCTTGCGATTGCTTTGTTCTGGCGAGTGTGTTGTTCTATTCTCTCTTGTTTGAAATAATGCTTGACAATTCAGAAATTAACCAATGATGTGCTGTGGAATGTGATGCTTGTCTTCATATAGTCTCACAGTTTCTCTTTTTAATGCAGATAGTCGTAACCTTCATCTTGCACATACACACACACAAATTACTTTAAGGTGCATAGCACAAAGATGTATGCAAATAACTGTGTTAAATCAGGTCTGGTAACTGATTTAAATATAAATCACACTAGGAACAAGTAGTTTCCATATATTTCAGGACTTTTAAACAGACAAAATAAAACAAAACTGAGCAGTTGTGGGTTTGCGCTATAGGATGCCATCAGCCATCAATGGGGCGTCTTGCCTCTGCCCATCGCTCCGGGAGTCTACTCTGTCGTGGAAATTGTGCCCACCCTCATCTGTGTGTTGTAGCCACTCACTGTTTGCTTCGAGTGTCTATAGTAACTGCCTCTGGACTCAGGACAGTGAGTAGGATCAAAATAAATACTGTACATGGTGGGGAAGGGAAAGCCTGTTGGAGAAGTTTCTAGTCAAACACGCTCTGGACCAGCATGTTGGAATCCAGCGTGGGCAAAATGCAGTAAAGATTTGGTCCATTTCTGTATGAGTTGTTGTTCTTTTATTCCCTTCCTCCCGCCTTTTTAATGTCAGCGCTGTGAAATCTGTGGGGAAGGTCACCACCCAGCCTCACTGTCCTGCCCAGCCTCGGAATTAAAAGTGACCGTATCTGCGAAACTGCAGACTGCTTCCTGAGTGACTGGGGCCTGAGGAGGGCCTAGTCTGGCCAGCCGCTGTCACCTCATTGTTCAGGCTTTCTCTTTATTGATTTACAAACATTGTGCAATGAGAAAACACTATACGGTCTCACTGCTCGGCCCAACCTGACAATAGGAATCGAATTATGTAAGATTTCACAAGCAAAACCACTACACATCTCGATCTGGCTGACTCACACGCGACTGGAGAATAAACAAACAGCGCCATAAGGAAATAACTCCAGGGTTAATGACTCCCATGTGGGGAAGTCCAGTGGTATTGGGAGGGTTGGGTGCCCTTAGAGGAAATAAGCTTGGTTACATAAGGCTGGGTCCCAGTCAAAAGAACAACACATTTGTAGAGTTGGGATTCTCAGGGGTGTTTGTCTGGGCACGGTCCTGCTGCATAATCAAGGACACAGGGACTCCTAACTCACTCCCTTGACAGGATCCAGGTCCTTGCTTCAGCAAGGACTGGGCCACCTGAAGCTTCAGCACCTGGGTGAGGTGAAAGCCCACTTCCTGCAGGGCCGCTGAAGTCATGCACAGTAAACATCACAACCTTTTACAGCAACAGTGAGCTGGGCAGGTCTGTGGGAAGGTGGCAAGCTCAAGGGACACAAAAGTCCTCAGTTCTCGACACTCAGGTATCCAAAGCATTTAACCAGGGCTGTCTGACAAGCTGAATCATTTCTAAACCCACAGAGCAGCAGAGATGGCAGGATATTGGACATTTGCATAAATGTTGGTTCCTCATCCAAAATCCTGCACCTCTACCTTCTAGAACTGCCCAGAAAGGCACTGGAGTAGTTCCTGGAACAGTAATACTTCTGTACAGCTTCTGCTTTCTCTGTCTGTCTTTTTTTCTTTTCCTTTTATTTCCCTGTGGAATTACCAATGCAAATGATGGGTGGCCTACATCCCTGGCAAGGCCCACTGCAGTGGCTGGGCTCCACGGCCCAGTGCTATATGTCATTAGAGGGGAAACCATTAAGTAGATTTATTGAAAGAATGTTTCTTCAGCACAAGGAGATCTTTTTGATGAAAAATGGAACTCATTATTCTTTAAAGGACACAGATTGACTTATCTCCTCTATCAATTACAGTGTCTGCTTTCAGCTTGTCTCAATCAGCAGAGAGCTTTGCAGTCACTTCCGAGGGCCGAGGCCAATGTGCTTCATGAAAAAGGTTTGTTTTCACATTTTAATTGGAAATATAATAGTGCGTTCTGGAACTCTGACTATCTTTTCCACTACTACTTGCCAAAGATCAATGGTGAGACACCACCCATCAGGCCATGACAGACATTCCTCCCCTTTCCCGGGGTGACCCCTCTAAGAAGCTGTCTGGCATCCTTCTCCCCAGTACACATTCTCAGATATGATCCTCCCCCCCCAAACCCCCCGAAGTTTCACCCAATGTTGTACGCCACAGAGTGAAAGTACATATCTGGAAATGTTAACCTTGGGGCCAGGGGAGGGCTTCTTTGGTAAAATGGCTGCTGCACAGGTGTGAAAACCCAAGTTCTGATCACCAGTGCACGTGCATGCGCGCACACACACACACACACACACATACACACACACACACCACACTGGGGAGGCAGAGACAGGCAAATGAAGAAAGCTCTCAGCAGGACAGTCTAGCTAAATTGCTGAGCTCTCAGGTTCCATGAGAGACTTTTTCTCAAACAAATAAAGTGGGAAGCAATTGGAGATGACACAGCAACCTCTGGCCTCCATGTGCAAATACCCACATGAACACATCTCTCTCTCTCTCTCTCTCTCTCTCTCTCTCTCTCTCTCTCTCTCTCACACACACACACACACACACACACACACAGACACAGAGACACAGAGACACAGAGAGACAGAGAGACAGGCAGAGACAGACAAAGACAGAAACGGGGGGGGGGAGGAGAGAGGAGAGAGAGAGAGAGACTTAGTTTATTATCCATAGGCTCCCAGGATGCTTTGGTGACTTTGGCAATGTGTGCAGATCTATGTACTGGTGTGTAAATCCTGATGATGTGAGTGAGGACAGTAGGTGCCCAGAGCTTGCTCTGTATCTTTCCTTTTCCAGATTGGCCCTGAGCTCATCAGCCTCTTCCTTGAGCCTTGTGCCACCTAGGCTTGTGGCACCACACCTACATTTCTAGACATGAATCTTATCTCACATAAATGTCTTTCATTTTTCACCCATGCACATTTACTAGAATAAACACTTTTTAATCTTATCAGTGTTCAAAGGCCAGTGTCTTCTGCCTGAAACAATACTTAATCCAATAACTACTCAATATAGAAAGTTGGATACTTAACATAGTAAGCACTAGGAAAATGTTGACTGGATAAATAATGGAAACGTCTGCCTCAAGAAGATTCCTCCCTGATTGTGTGAGCAGTGACCTGGACAGAAAAGTCTGGCCTGCCTGGATACAGCCTCTTGCCGAAGAGAATAAACTTAATATGTAACCTTGTTGAAGTCATTTAACGGCTTCAGCCTTCAGCTTTCCATCTAAAATCTAGGGATAAGAAGATGCAGGAGCGTGTGGAGTTGTTGAGAATCTGCACGCGGGGCCTGAGTAGATAATCCAGGAGGTAAAGGCACCTGACACCAAGTCTAGTGACTGACGTCCAATCTTCAGAACCAGGTAGGAGAGAACTAACTCCTGATAACTGTCCTCTGATCTCTATTCATGTACTGATAGATGTATGAACACACATGTACCACAATAAACACATTAGAAAGCAATAAATAACCAAACATAAATGCACATACATATAAAAAGTAAACACAGCATTCCAGCCCACTAATGGATATTAGAGGAAGAACAACAGTTTATTGCCCTACTCTAGGGGCCTAGTTTAGACATTGAATGAACCTCCTGCATCTCATTTTCACATGCATAAAATAATGGCCCCCCACTCTACCCCCAGAATATTGTAGCTCTAAACTTCTCTTCCACAGTCACTGAGATTCTGTCTCCAATGGTTATGAAATTTTTATCAAACACTTGAAAGGATTCTTCCCACTACAGTTAGGAAAGGCAAGTAAAACCAGCAATGGGAGATTTGGTACAAAGCCAGAGGATGTTTCACAGAACCTAAGGGCAGAAATCCAGATGCCAACTGGAGCCAGGAAGTAGAAAGTTAGGTGGAAACTAGGAAGCTCACCGTCTCTCTCAGTTCCCCCTACTGTCTCCCTAAACCTGCTCCTGCTTCCTACATGGGAAAGCATGGCCAGCAACAGAATCCTAATGCAAAGACACCTAAAGAAACATCATCTTTCTCTTTTGACTTCATTCTGGAGTCTTAGGGAAGCTGCTACCTGGCTGGCCCATCCTGGACCAGAAGCTTACCCTAGTTTATATTATACCTCTATGACTACCCCCCCCCCAAGGTGGAGTAGTCATTTTCGAAGACAGAAACACTGCTTAGTGTTGCAACCCAACAGATAGCTGTCTCTTGGCTAACTGCCACACTTCCCAGGGAGGTAAGGTACTTTTTAATCATGTGCTAGTCCTTACTCTCAAAGCAGTTGACAGGGAAGCTTAAATAGCTGAATACCATTCTCCCAAGTGTCACAGACAGCTTTTAAGTTTGTCAAGGCTGTACAACTTTGCTTGGTTGTGTTAAACCTTTTCAATCTTTGGTTTCAAGGCTCTTGTGGACTGCAAAAGTATCCTGAATGAGTCATAAAACTACATAGAGCAAAAAAAGGAAAACATTCCCAGTGATCTTAAATAACCATATTTTAAATAAGCCTACTTTCCTTCGGCTAGAGCAACAACAAGGGGGTGGGGCAAGACAGTAGCAAGGTCCTCCATTTCTACACATCAGGAAATTCAAGGCGACCCCTCGGCCTTTGTTATCCTCAGAGGTTCTGATAGAAGAGAAGTTTGAGTTTATAATGGAGAAATGTAAACACAGTGGCAATCTTGTTTTTTTTTTTTTCTTGCAAACTTTGCTCAGGAGTGTTCAAAGAAGGGAAGAGACTTGGTTGCTTAGGTGAGTAGGAGACAGACAATAGATAGAATCAGAAATCTGGATTGCAAAGTAAAGTGCCAGCCTTGGAGAAGAATGAGGAAATGTGCTGCTCTGGAGGAGGGATCTGACGAGAATACATGAGTCTGTCTTCTCATCAGCTTCAGGAATGAACAGTTTAAAAAAAATCTCCCTTTTCCTCTTCAGCCTCCCCCAAACCTCCCACATAGAGTCATTTTCCAGAATGATCCTTAGCCACTGGTCAGACCTCATTCTTAAGCACAGAGCAAGCAATAACTGCCTTTATCACCTCTATGTGACTTATGAGCACCCAGCTTTGGCAAAGACCCAGACTGTATATAACCTCCAAAGAGAACCTCATTCTAAATCTCTAAGAGTAGGAAAAAGAGAGGTCGGAGGCTTCTACAATTATCCACTTAGCTCTTAGTGATTAGCTACACTACACATAGCTACAATGCTATGGATGAAACAGTGCGAAGACTCAGGCCAGTAACCACAACTGTAGTACTGAAAAGACATTCTACCCTCGATGCCTGCTTTTCTTAATGTAGTGCTTGGCTTGGCCAACTGTAACCAAGATGCTGTAGGACTCCATTTTGCATGTTTTTCCCCTGGGGGGGGGTGAGGTTTTCTCAGCATCAATCTTCCCATCACCACCACCTCCAACCTGTCCAACTGTTGACTTGTTTCTTCGCTATGTGCCACCAAAGAAGCAGTTCTGGGTGTTGATAAGAGTTGAGAGTCTGAGCCTTGTGTAGTAGCGCATGCCTATAATTGCACTTGAGAGGCAGAGCCAGGAGGATCTCTAGGAGTATGAGTTCTAGGCCAGCTTGGTCTACAAAGTG